TCTCTCTGTTATTTCAAGTTTGTATCTATTATTCTTTGTCTGTTTTGCTAGCCCTCCTCATCTCTCTCTTTCTTTATCTCATACCTCCTCTCTCTTTTGGTATATCTCTCCCTTTACCTCTGCCTCTCTCTTTTTGTGTCAGTCTTATCCTTTTTCTATTTTTATCTTTCCTCTTTAGTTTCTGTTATTTTGAAACTTTCGTGTCCAGTTCATACCTAGAAAAATTATATAGTCATGATGAGGTGTGCCATTGAGCTGGAAGAGCAGACAACATATTCTTCAATTGTTGGACCATAATAGGCAGCCTTGTTATATAAAATCAAAGGCTGTTTTCAGTAAAAAAAATTTGAAGAAGGAAAGCCTTCTTTGTCTGGGGTGCTTGGCTGGTGCTCTGGTGTGGTCAGTTGCTCCTATTCCTTTACAGTATTTTTTAAAATACTTCTTTGATACTGGTGGCTTTTAGCTATTATTGCTCTCACTTACTGTTCACACAGCAGATCTTAAGTGAACTTTGTTATGTGTTTCTCATTACTCCATTTCCTCCTTCTCATCCACTTCACAGGTGCAACGGGTGATCGCTTAAAAGAAGCCACTAAGATCAACCTGTCCCTCTCTGCCCTTGGAAATGTTATCTCAGCGCTTGTTGATGGAAAGTCTAAACATATTCCCTACAGAGACTCCAAGCTCACCCGTCTATTGCAGGTTAGTTGATCTCTCTCTCTCTCTCTCTCTCTCTCTCTCTCTCTCTCTCTCTCTCTCTCTCTCTCTCGTTTTCCCTGTCTTTTGTTCTCTGTGTCTCTCTCCCTCTCTTTATCCCTGTCCCCCCCCCCTTCCCTTCTGTGTCTGACTGTTTATCTGTCTGGAATGGTGTGTGTGTGTGTGTTTTAGTGAGTGTGTGTGTGCGTGAGTGAGAGAGAGAGGGGGGGGGGCAGGAGTGGGATGTATGCGCTGCCTTTCAATTATCATTTGCGACAGTAAAGTTTAAAGCGAGTAGCAAATTTGCGTCAATCTGAAAAATCTCTTTCCCAATTTCGTCTAATTTTGTCAAGGGGACTGTAACCGTTGGATGGAAGTGGCGATCTCATTGTATCGTACTCGGCTCTGATAGTGCGCGGCTTTGATAGTTTTTTGTGGGGGTTTTTCGAAAGTGTGCGGCTCTGCTGATAGTTTCTTTGTGGGTGCTTGGCTGGTGCTCTGGTGTGGTTTGCTCCTTCTTTTTTCTATCAAACATCTATTGTCCTGATCTCTCCTCCTTTTTTATGTTTGTTGCTCTCTTCTCTTGTACCACCTCTAATCTTCGGCACATATTGTGTTGCAAGTGCGTAAAACTCTTACTAAAACTAAAGATCTCTTCTCCTTCTGTTTCATATTTGTTTTTATCTTGTAACACCACACATCTTCGTCACTTATACTTATATGACCTTATTGTGTTGCAAGTGCCGTAAAGATCTTTCTAAACAAAACAAAAATGATTGTTTTGTTTCCTGACCCCCCTCCCCCAGGTTCACAGACGTCCACCACTACATGAAGCCGAACGACGAGCGTGGGCTGGGGCTGATGACTCGTGCCGCCCAGACCGTCATGGCCGACTTCTCCGAGGTGGTGCTGGCCTATGGACAGAGCGACGAGTTCAGCTTTGTCTTCCACAAGAACTGCAAGCTCTATAACCGACGGGCCAGGTGAGAGTTGCTTATTTGTTTGTTCCTGTATTTAGGTGTACATGCACATGTGTGTGTGTATATGTGTGTGTGTTTATGTGTGTGTGTATATGTGTGTGTGTTTATGTGTGTGTGTTTATGTGTGTGCATGTGAGTGAGTGCAAGAGAGAGAGAGAGAAAGTGAGAGAGAGAGACTTTCCGAGGTGGTGCTTGCCTATGGACAGAGGGACGAGTTCAGCTTTGTCTTCCACAAGAACTGCAAGCTCTATAACCTACGGCCAGGTGAGGGTTGCTTGTTTGTTTGTATGTTTGTGTATGTGTGGTGTGTGTGTGTGTGCGTATGTGCATGCATGTACGTGTGTGTGTATGTTTGTGTTCATGTACATGTGTGTGCATGTGTGTGTGTACATATGTGTGCGTGTGTGCATGTACGTATGTGTGAGTGTGAGAGAGAGAAAGAGAGAGAGAGCAAGAGAAAAGAGAGAGAGGGGGGGGGAGAGAGATAGAAGGACAGAGAAAGTCAAGCCATGATGGACAGAACAAGTGAGGTAGAGAAATAAACAAAATGAAGCCATGATAGATAGATCGAGTGAGATAGATGAATAAAGGAAGACATGCCATGATAGTCAGAACGAGTGTAGCAGATGAATAAAGCAAGAGGCCACACCAGGATAGACAGAACGAGTGAAGGGGAGGAGTAAAGAAAGCCACACCACGATAGACAGAGCGAGTGTAGCGGATGAATAAAGGAAACCGCGCCATGATAGACAGAACGAGTGTAGCAGATGAATAAAGCAAGAGGCCACACCAGGATAGACAGAACGAGTGAAGCAAATAAATAAAGGAAATCGCGCCATGATAGACAGAATGAGTATAGCGGATGTATAAAGGAAGACACACCACGATAGACAGAACGAACGAAACTGTGTCCAAATGTCGTAATGGCGTCGGCAAACACCCCGCCCCCTACTTTATGTTTTTAATCAAGACATTTGAGGGTGGCCTTCCCCGATCTGTTGGCTACACCAATCTCAAGGTGCGACTCCAAACGCTGTAAATTTCCCCCCTCTCTTCTCGTTGGGACCAAACCGCGAAACTCAAAAACTTTAGATAAACTGCTGTAATCTTACACGATTTGTAACGCACACCGAGATTCACGGACGGACTTTTTTTCTTTTTTTTTGGTAAGTGTTTTACGGCGCTCGCAGCTGCATAGGGTCATGTTGCTAGAGAGCAGGAAAGGAGGTGAGAGTAGACAATTTTAGAGAAGAAAAAGTTCCGTCGCCATCCAGATTCGAACCCGGCACCTATTGATTGAGAGGCGAACACCTTAACCTCTAGGCCATGAGAGCCCCCTCAAAAATTGTTGTTGTTTTTGTGGGGGGGTTTTATTGTTTTTTTTGGTAAGTGTTTTACGGCATTTGCAACTGCATAAGGTCATAATAGCGCCCGGGACATATTAATGTTAAACATTTTCAGTCAATAGGAAATTTTAAATTTTGCCCGGGTGGCGGCCGGAGACTATTCTCATAGATTTTGGACTATCAAGGGATCTTCAGCGTGCGCAACCAGCACGCAGGACCTAAGAAATATTTCGGCCTTGTCCGAGAAGACTAGCTGGTTTAGATCTTTCCTACCAGAAAATCAGGTGTGTGGCTGAAAGACAGCAGTGAGAAGGAGCCAATGAGTAGCAGTTGAAAGGCTGCAGAATTAGAGCCAGGAACCCAGAAGAGGGAGCAAAGGAGATGAGTGGGGTGGGGGCGGAAAGTGGAGACGAAAGCAGACCACAGTACATTGCTAGAGAGCAGGAAAGGAGGTGAAAGGAGACAATTTTATAGAAGAAAATTTTCCGTCGCTATTCCAATTCGACAAATGCAGTTTTCGGGACATCTGAATAGACATAAAGACCTTGAATATCTAGATCTCACTGGCAAAATTGAAGGCAAATGAGGGGCAGGGGTAGGCCCATAGTAACCTGCTTAGGGAGCTTAAACAAATTGGTAACGGGGAAAGACCAGGGAAAAAGCGTCCGAGCAAAGGAATGAATGGAGAACAATGATCGCCGATGTCTGTTGCAGATCTTGAACTGGATGATGATGATGATGATCCGGATTCGAACCCGGGGCCTATTGAATGAGAGGCGAACACCTTAACCTCTAGGCCACGAGAGCCCCCTCAAAAACTCTAGAAAAGCTACGGTAATCTTACACGACTTGTAGCGAACACCGCGCCTCACGGAAGGTCTGATTTCTGATTGCAAGAAATGATTGTGGAGGTTTTGCGAGGGAAGTTGGGAGTGTTATTTATGTAAATTATAAACGATTGTGGATCTTTTTTTGTGTGTGTGTGTAGTTTTAGTAGGAGTTTTACGGCACATGCAATACATTACGTCATATAATTGCCGAAGATAAGAGGTGTGACAAGAGAGTAACGAATATTTTTCAAAAAGAGGAGAGATAAAAACGCTAGATGTATGATATAGGATAGAAGGAGCAAACCACAGCAGAGCACCCACCAACCCCCCTCAGTGGATTTTTATAGGGAAGTACGATTATAAATCACTGTAAATAAACGATTTTAAATTATGATTTTACAATTGCATACACTATAAAAATGATTTTATCCCCTTCTACACAATTTGATTGTTGGGGTGCGCCACTGGTAAGGTCTACTTCCTTATTTTCATTTTCTTGCTTCTATCTCAGTTTGTCTTTTCCCTCATGACTGTTTTACTACCGACACCTGTGGTGTAGAGGGTAGGCGCTTGGCTATCACACACAGGAAACCTGAGTTCGATTCTCGAGTGGGGAGAATTTGTATATCGAGTATCTCGGTCTTGTTTTCTGGGATGTTGTATCCTTCTCTGCCAGGTTGGTCCAGAAAGGCAGTGATCAAAACTTTCTAACATTGTGACAATGGGGGCTTAAAAACAACTATTTTTTAAAATCGTTACCATCATCATCACCATAATAATTCATCATCATCATCATCATCATCATCATCATCATCATCATCATCATCATCATCATCATCATCATCATCATCAACAACAACAT